ATAGATATTTATACTTATTATAACTATCTTATTCCGCCGCAATTTCTTTTATTCTTTTCATTTTTGATGCTAAAATAAAAAAAAATTGTAATGATAAATTTAGAGTTACAAAAGAAACTATCGAACATTTCAAAAACTAGGTATACCTATTTTACACCACATCTATCTATAGGTAAAAATCTGAAAACCGTAAATAATTGTTCAGAATTCTGGGTATGTGAGTGTAAAACTCGTACATGGCCGGATTTTAATAAATTAAAGCTTGAACAACATATCAGACAGTCCAACATATAATTACATAAATAAAATATTTAATATTCACACAGTTAAATGTAGGTAAACGTAGCGGAAAATTCAAATTTTCACAAAGTTATCCAATAATTTCATAACCACTACACTTATTTATTTGCACAAAAATCACAATTATGAAACAAAGTGAACTTAACAACTGAAGATCCATAAATAAATTTTCTTTGAATTATCAAACTATCACGTATTTTCTTAAAGAAACGTAATAAACAATAATGAACTTAATAAATATGTAATAGAAGTCATTCTCGCTGATTATAAGTCATAAATAATCCAAGCACAAAATATCATTCAAAGAAAGGGAATTCCCGAATTCGTTACAGAATAAGTAATGAAAAATTCCGTGCTCTTTTCATTCGGTCCGAATTTTATAGTTGCGTTAAAAATATGAAATGGTTTAAATATTTACAAACTGCATTTTATTATTTACTGTGAAATTTTGCCGTCCCCTAAAAAGTGCCGCCCGAGCCAGGATAATGAAGAGTTCGTACGACGGAGGTTCGAATAATCGAGGTTCTACTGTATGTATTATCAAAATAAACCATAATCAAGGGCAACCAGTGGTGTATTTCAATATTTTTGTGGGGAGGGCTTAACATTTTTCTAAAAAATATGTGATTTTATGATAGGTATTATAAAAATACACGTGAAGTGTGCAGTGGCGGAACTAGGTCTTGGAGGCCCGTGTAAACATTTTCGTGGCGAATATCTAAGACAGATTTTAAAAAAAAAAACTAACAATTTTGTTTTTCTCACGTAACATCTTTATTCTTTAATACGTATAATATATATGTATTTATTATATTATATATTATTATTAATAATATATTTATAAGTAGGTAAATATTGAAATTAAGTTGTGAATATTTATTTTCGGCTTTGGTTTTATGCAAAAGTATTGATCAATGCCGACATATTTGATTTTTTTGCATGTTCGTTTTCAATAGATATCATGGCCAAACCACTTAGACGTAATTGAGACATGGTGGTAGCTTTTATTGACTTCAGCTTTGAAAACGATTTCTCAGCACTGACTACAGTTACTGGTAAAATGCCTTTAGTAATTTCGGGAAGCTTGTCATAAGATTATTATTTTCAACGACTAACAATTTAGTTATATCAAAAATATTGGATAATGTTTCGAACTCAAAAGCAAATAATATTCTAAAAGATTCGATTTGATTGGTTAATTCTGCCGAATTAAATGTCAGCAGGACACAAGTTACAAGCGATAATTTATTTATGTGATAAAATTATTATTCTGCACTAGTATAGTTATAACTTCTTTTCTTCTATGATATTTTATTTAAAACGAATAAATGCCTACCTATCTTCATATTATACTAAGATCTAATAACTAATTATAATAACTAATACTAGATTACTATTATTCTATTAATCTGAACCTCCATAACTAATTATGCAATGGTTTACTTAGAAAGATAAATGGAAAGCTAAAAACTAAAAATAAACTTTTATGAGGTTTTTAGTTAAATTATTTAAATTTTAATGTTCATAATTTTCAAAGTTAAATCGTTTGAGCCCCCTCTTATGCCGAAGCCCGTGTGAAAACACACCTTTATGTAGTTCCGCCACTGGAAGTATAGATAATTATATATAATTATATTGTTCTATTATTATTATAAACAGTGGCGTATATAGGGGGGGGTTTGGGGGTTCAATCCCCCCCCCCCCCCCCCC